ACTCAAAATAAATGATATCAAACAGGAGCTTAGTGTTAAATGGGTAGGGGCAAACCAGCACGCCTCCACTTCCACCTTGGACCACTATGCAATTTTGCCTTTGAATTTTTCTCAATTTATTTGGGACAAGCCATAGAGCAGGTCACAATAGCACCAAAACACACATCTTAATGGCTCCTTCCCATCAATAAAGCTTCTTCTTTACCCAAATAAAAGGAGTCATTTCATGAAGTATCATGCAGAAACCCATGTTTTATGCATGTATTTTAGATTACTAGTAATTAAGCACATGCATTATGTGAGAAATTTTTTCATATTAATTATTTGAATTTTAGATATATCATAATTAAGATAAAAATGAAAACTAAAAAAAGTAAGAATATGATTAAAAATAAACTTAAATGCTTGTAGTAAATGGCTACTTGCATTGCATATGAAAATTTCAAATTACAATAAAAAATATTATTATTATTATTATTATTATTATTATTATTATTATTATTATTATTATTATTATTATTATTATTATTATTCCACTATGTCATAAATAAAAATATATTTTATTTAACAAATATTTTTATTTATTATGCTGAATATATAACATTATAAATGTTCCCAAATGCGACAGAATTTTGTACTTTTTCATTATTTGTGTTCTATCCTTTTTTAAATATTTATTATTCAATTATGACATCATGAGTTTTTTTTTGAAAAGTTGGATCATTGACCCACCATTTAGATAAGAAAATAGCTTTACTTTTGGATTTTTTTTACTTATCATACTTAATTTTTGATTGGCATAATTAATATATAATTTTTTATATGTTCTTTTGATTATTTGTACTTTTTAATTTTTTAAAGATTTATTATTTAACTATCATATCATCGGTTAATGCATTTGACCCAAACCACTAACCCACAACCCAAAAAGGAAAATAATTTGATTTCTAGGTTGACACTAAATTTTATATTACATTTCCATCATTGATAATGAATGTATAATATTAGAGATGTACCTAATATTTATTTTTATGAATATATAACATTAGATATATGCCTAATTTTTTTTATTTTTGTTATTATTTATATTTTCTATTTAAAAAAATTATTATTTGACTATGACATCATTTCATTTGTAGGTTGGTTTTAACTTTGGCATTCCATTTTCATCATTAATAAAATCATTTCTTACATTTCATACATATTTTTGTTTAGTATAATGAATATTCTATATTAGATATATCCAATTGTTTTTATTTTTTGTATTAAATATTTTTTATATTTTAATTTTTTATTATTTAATTGTGACATTATTTATTAACCCATTTGACCAAAAATGGTTAAATTGCTTACTCACCATTGGGAGGAAAGAAAATTGTTTTGTTTTCAAATTATTTTTCAAAATATTTATTTTCATAATATTAAAATTAATATTGTGGATTTAATAAGAGAATATACATTAATATGAGATTTAATGAGAGAGATTAGGAAAATAATTTTATTTCTAATTGGTTTTAAATTTTACATTCCACTCCCATCATTAAAAAAAAATCATTTCTTATCATTAATATGAGATTTAATGAGAGAATAGGAAAATAGTTTTATTTCTAATTGGTTTTAAATTTTATATTCTATTTCCATCATTAATAAAATCATTTCTTAATATTTCTATATTTTTATTTTATCTATTTTTGAATTTTATTATTTAATTGTGACAACATGGATTGAGTCATTTGACCTGAAATGGTTTAATTTCTTACCACTGTGTAGATGAAAACACTATATTTTTAGGTAGATTTTAAAAGTATGTTTTTATGTTGTTGGAATTATTAATTTACTATGTATGAATTTAATTAATAAAATTTAATAATGAGAAGAAATAAAATTGTCTTAAATATATGATTCAATTGAGGTGAATGCAAATTAATAGCTTAAGTGTTGGATTTTATGAGAAGAAATTAAATGCATTGAATATCTTATAATTGTATCTTTTCAACTCATTTAATATTAATAATTGATTACCCTTTTGCCCTCATTTTTTATCAATAAATTTAAATATAAAAGGATAAATTATATCCTCAAAAAAGTTCCCAGAAATATTACTAACGCTATTTGTGTTTTTAAAGTAATATAGATTTGAGCTTGCTGACTTTTTTATCCTATTAAGAAAACGTGTTCCTTTACATTGGCAGTCCTGATGTTCAAGCAAAAAAATCGGTTTGATTGCAGTGCAAAAATGGTTAATTAATTTGATGGCATTACAAATTTCATTTGCATCATCATAAATGCACGGGAGTGCAAATAATTTTAGCTTCAGATTTACTTTTGCTTCAAACTTGATCATCTTATTTGTTTGTGAAAAGTAAAATAGAGAGTAAAATGATATTATCTCCGCCTTTATATGCAAGAGACTGGAGATGGGAGGAGGAATTATTTGTTTAGGAGTGAGTGAGATGAAAAATTACATAGTCCCACTTTATATGAGATTGAATTGAGGTAAGTGGAAGGTGTTGAAATGCAAAATTTGCAAATCATAACCACACACAAACAAACGAAAACTGAACTGATTACAAAATTAATTTGTATGATCCATGCAGTTAAAATTGTGTATTAGGCAATCAGTGCAAAGTATGAATAAAGACATCAATAGTCATCCTTGTTATCATATTAAAGTACGAGATGCCATTTCAATGGATCTGAGCCTTAGAGAGTAATTTTGATCCCAATGATTTTTCAGGAATCAGAAAAACCATCACTATGTTCTTCAACGCGGATTGATCCCCATTTTCTCAAGTGGGTGCTGCACATAACAATAGCAAAATACTAGCAAAAGCAAATGATAGTGGAGCCCAAAGTGAATAAATTGGTTTTTCTATTTTCAGAAACATTAAAAAAAAAAAAAAAGTTGATCGAATTTCAAATTGATCCCAGAAAGCAAATGGTATGTAATTTCAGTGATTCTAAACAATTCCGATCTCTAAAATAACTTTAATCGCAGATTAATCTTCATATTGGGAAAAAAAAAACAGCTGACGATGATGTGCACCCAAATCAGTTCATCATCAGTAAGAACATTAATAAACTTGCACGAGAGAATATATCATCAAGCTATGCATATACTCCACCAACATTAATCATTTAATTGCTATTAAGTTAATGCTGGTAGAGCCAAGATGGCACAGGTGGCATGCCCAGTAGTTGGTGAAATTAAATAAACTAAACCAGAAATCCAAGCATTTTCCCTACCGTTAACCGTCTGATTAACTTGAAATATAGCTAGCAGCTATACAATAATGAAATACACAAATTGCTTACCTTGTGTCGCTAATTAATTGTAACTTGTGTATTTGGTCATTCATACGTCCAAAGGCGGTAGCTAAGCCTAAGAGAAGCCAACCATAACCAAATAATTGTATTTTCTTTATTGCCTTGCCCCTTTTTCTATTGGTCAAACTAGAGCGCAACGAAAATGAATGTCTAGTGGAATCACTATTGTATATAGAGGCACAGGCACTTACTTACCCCCAATATTAATTAATTAAGGGTTTTAGTGCAGATATCTATTTGTAGATTAATTATAAAGTGGTCTTGCGCCTGGTTTAATCATTTTATTAAAACGATGCTTTACGACGTCCATGCCTTCACTTTATATTTCACTTGCTTTGTTTGGGTTGGTGAATGTAAAAACAAGAAATTCAGCTGAGAGAATTCAAAACAGCCTAACAGTAGACTAAGAGGTTGACCTAAAAAGAAGGTGGCAGTATGATGCCCATCACCAATTCAACGTCAATTAAAAATATATAGTCATATAGAGAGAGAAAAAGAGATATATAATATAGCTATTGGATATTGGACTTACTTGTATGTCTGCAATCGATCTGATCAGAACCTGAACCTGTGTAAAAGTTAAACTGTAAAAGTAAATCATTTGATCTGTAATTCCTTGCCTGTGCTTGTGGAAATTTGGTATGAGGTAGAAATTAATGTCGCCATCATTTATTAGCTGAATCCTATTCATATCTGCTAGCTGAAATTAACGGACCCAAATGGTAAAATCTGACAAATTAATTTGCTAAATGATACCCTCAACTCAACCTCACGCTTTCAAATCGATCCTATTCCGTTAATCTTCTTCTTAGCCGGCCGACATTACCAAATTAACATGATTATAACGGATGAGTTTGTTTTTGTTGGTTGGTGGGGTGCTGCTGCTGCTTGCTGTTGTAAGCCCCAGTTACTGTGACTGTGAGACTGTGAGACTGTAGCAATGGCAATGGCAATGGCAATGGCAATGGCAATGGCTTCCATTCGAGCCATATCATCACAGACACAAATTAACGTACTATGGGGGTAGACCCTCAGACGAAGGGAGGTAAAAAGTTACCGTCCAATATACTTCAACGGTCAATATCAGGCTGTTTGAACTTTGAATTATAATTATTTCAATCAATGTCGATATCACTTGCCCATTGCCAGTCTGTATTTCATCGTGTCTTAATAATGCTCTATTGCAGTGTAGGTGTTGGTCGATCTAGACCGCAAATTAATTTAATCAAGTCCGACCACAAAATTAAAAAATAATAATAATTAATTCCATCTTATCCTTTTTATCAACTAACTTTGTTGTGTACTTTGTAGGGACTAGAGAGGTTGGTTGGGTGGTTGATTCCATGCGTATATATGGCATGTCAATGGCATCTTAATTTTGATCTCTAAACGTTTTCTTTCAAAATGAGATGGCGGTCAACTGGTTTGGTGAGACGACACGATTGTTGTCATCCTTCCTCTACCCTCCTTAATCAAATTAATTCAGTAATCCCTGGCGGCCCTCAACATTTTCTTCCTTAATAATAATAAATTAACCAGCTGGTCAGCATTTCCACGTTAACACACCTACTGTTGTCTCTCTACTTCACCTTATAACGAATCATTGAATGTAACAGTCGTTACTTATATATATATCATCAAGTACTGCAACATACCGATCCAGGAGAGAGAGAGAGAGAGAGAGAGAGAAAGGGAGAGAGAGCTAGGAGAGAAGAGAACAAGATAGCTAATTTAGCTAGCTAGGAGGGGAATTAATAGCTAATAGCTAGCGCTAGCTATTGCTACAAGTTGAGCAATTAAGAGATGGGTGATGAGGTGATGGAAGTAAGATCTGTTCCCATAACACCGAGGAGGGGGGCTGGTGCAGGGCCAACTCCGCCCATCTCGGCTCCTCCCTCACAGTACCACTCTCCATCCTTGTCAAGATCCCCTCTCCTCTCATCTGTTGGTGTTGAGACAACAACAGAGTCGCACAAAACCAAGACCCCCAGACTCTCTCTAACTCCTCGCTTCATCACGCCTCTGGGTAGCCCCATAAGAAAGGCCCTTCACCTCACCAAGCTCGACCCTCAAGACGCCTGGCTTCCCATCACTGAATCAAGAAATGGAAACGCCTTCTATGCTGCCTTCCACGCTCTCACTTCCGGAATTGGAATTCAGGCCCTTGTTCTCCCCGTTGCCTTCACTGTCCTTGGCTGGTAAGTGCGGTAACACCCTCCCTATACCTTCACTCCATGCATTAATTGTCCAATCCGGGGAGACACCCGCCGGAATACATGCAATTGATATGAGATTTGAGAACTCATGATCACCATCAACAGAGCATGCATTCTCGAATCTCAGTACGATCATCACTAACTAACTAACATTAACAATATAATTAGTTCACTTGATTTTGATTGATGGCTGCAGGAGCTGGGGAGTAATAACTTTGACGTTGGCATTCATCTGGCAACTTTACACCCTCTGGATCCTGGTCCAACTCCATGAATCAGAATCTGGAACCCGCTATAACAGATACCTCCAACTGGTCAATGCAGCTTTTGGTAAGAGAACCAACGCCCCTTTCTCTCACCCTCTGTTCACTTATGTTGAGTACGTAGTACGTACTCGAGTGGGAGCAAATTCCATTAATTAAATTAATGTTTTTATCTAATGATGGATGGATGAAATCTTAATCCGACATGTACGTATACTACTACGTCTCAGGTGAAAGACTAGGGAAAATGCTAGCAGTATTTCCGATCATGTATCTGTCAGGGGGTACGTGTACCGCCTTGATCATCATCGGAGGTTCCACCATGAAGCTCTTCTTCCAGATCGTATGTGGAACCACATGCCATGCCAAGCCACTAACAACCGTAGAATGGTATCTGATCTTTACCTGTGCTGCCGTCCTTCTGTCTCAACTGCCCAACTTAAACTCCATTGCCGGCGTTTCGCTAATCGGTGCCATCACCGCCGTCGGCTATTGTACGTTGATATGGGTAGTATCCGTTGCCGAGGGCAGAATGCCGGGCGTTTCCTATGATCCCGTGAAGGCCAAATCTGATATTGCCAGGATTTTCGGGATATTTAATGCACTTGGGATTATTGCTTTTGCTTTCAGAGGCCACAATCTCATACTTGAGATACAGGTAATTAAGAGGATTGAAGATGTCATTAATCAATTCCTTTCCGGCTGGCTTTCCCTCGTGAGATGTCGATTGTCAAATATTGAGGCATGACTTTGACTGTTTGACAAATTGACTGGCCTTAAAATCGAAATCATGAACTTGCCGACGAAAAGCAAAACAGAAATACTGAAGTATTCATTCAAAATTCTAACGAGGGTGAAATGCTTTTGGTTGCAGGCCACAATGCCATCCAGCGAGAAGCATCCATCGCGAGTACCCATGTGGAGAGGAGTGAAGGCTGCATACGTACTCATTGCAATGTGCTTGTTCCCACTTGCAATAGGAGGCTACTGGGCTTACGGCCACATGGTAACCATTTGCTCATCAGATGAATTAATTGATTCAGATCATCATCACTATTAACGAACGAACTTGATATTTTTTAGTTTAATTTTATTGGGTGAAGAACAAAAACAAAAACAAAACTTACAAATTAATACGCAGATACCGGCAAATGGCGGGATGCTAACAGCTTTGTACGCATTCCACGGACGTGATGTTTCAAGGGCGGTGCTTGGCTTGACAAGTTTATTCGTTGTAATCAACGCAGTGAGCTCGTTCCAAATCTATGGAATGCCAATGTTCGACCATATAGAGTCTCAATACACAAGTAGGAAGAAGAAAGCAATGCCATGGTGGCTACGTGCAATTTCTCGAGCCATGTTCGGATTCGGATGCTTCTTCATAGCGGTGGCAATCCCCTTCTTGGGCAGCTTGGCAGGTCTCATCGGAGGGCTGGCTTTACCCGTCACCTTGGCTTACCCGTGTTTCATGTGGGTGATGATTAAGAAACCCAAGAGATTTAGTCAAATGTGGTGTCTCAATTGGGGTCTCGGCTTCTTGGGCATGGCTCTCAGTGCCATTTTGGTTGCTGCTGGACTGTGGAGTGTGATTCACACCGGTGTTAAAGTCAGCTTCTTCAATCCTCAATAGACAATAACCATATGTCTCCAAACCGTGCTGTTAATTCCGACAGCTGAAGCCTCAACGAAAAGGGAAATTTATTAGAAACAGTGAATATGCATGATTTATGAATTAATTCAATTGGATATCTTCTCTCTGGTTGCTCCTTAGTTGTGCATCGTTGTAACTATATATGATCTGCATTCTTACTTGATACAAATTTTGTACTTCTTCCCCTCACGATTATATTCACTGGTATCCAAAATAACTGCTGGTACAAAATCCGCATCACCTTCCTCTTACATCGATTCTCCATCTCTCATTTAAATTGGGGGTCACACATCATTTTTCCACTTAGCTCGATCACTTCTAAACAAAAAACCCTCCTATCTCCATTAATTTGTTTCATATATATAAGGTGGGTATTATATCTGTTAGTTATAACTAACAAATAAAGACACACACATATATACATATATATATATATATATATACATATATGCTCCGCCTATTTGCACAGTTGCACTTTCATGTATTTACATCAGCAAACAAACTGAACTTTATGGTTTAATCTAATTCATATACATCTCTTTCCTAGAACAGATGATTGATGACTAGCCAAAGTTTGAACGAGGACCAAAGACTAAAGATGGATTTCTCAAACAATGTTCCACAATTAAGACTCTAAGACCATTAAATTCCCATACCCACTTGGCTTAATCAACAACCAAAGTCGGTATCAATTAAGAGTCTAAGACCACAAAGAGTCCAACTAATCCAATATCTTATTATTAAATATTCAATTCAATGCACATTTTCAAAAGGAGGGAATGATTGTGGAGATTGGAGTCGCAAGAAGGTAGCGGTATCAAATTTGAAGATTAAACTGATAAGGTTACGGGATTGAGTAAAAACTTCAAATTTCAAGATTAATCTTCAAGGCCCAATAAAACTTCGACATATTTATAATCAGCCAGGCAGTAATTCCTATTAAGTAAACAGTTAGTTTTGATACAAATCCCATGCCGGATCAAAATGTTCTATATTGAATAATGAATATGACCATGTACAGTGCAAATACAAAGCACTTTTCCCAAATGGAAGAGTGAGCAGAATGGTTAATCATGGATGAGATCCTATACTGTTAGCTCCCTAACCTCCTGACCAACCAAATAAAATGAATGATCCTGATAGTCTCTTTTTCTTCTGTTCAGTGCTGGGCTCCATTAGTCTTCAACATAAATTCTCACTGCCAACTATGCCAATCAATATCAATGCTTTCAAACCACCATTCACCCCGGTCGAACCATTCAAACTGTCATCTAGTATCAATTCCAATCGGATTTATCCCAAGCCCAAATTTTGTGCAAAAACCATTGACTTCGTCAAAACCCGCTCAACATAGATGGTTGAACGATACCAGAATAACTTTGGCCCAGGTGGTTGAATGATGTCATTCCAAAGGGCCGTCAAAACAGGAATTGGGACATCTGGTCACGTTTAATGGCAAATAACCTTGTTAGAGGGTTTCAGATGAGGTAGGCACGAACTTGTAAAAACGTTCAATGAGCACTTAAAATTTTTTTTTACACCAATTTCTTAAAATACCCTCACCCCACCGTTCTAACTCGATTCCTGAAACTATTTTTTTTATCACAATGTATAGGCCAATCTAAAGGCACGATACGCAAATTCATTTTATCCTGTGTATTCATATTTTGAACCTTGTTTCTGATGCAATTAAAAATAGATTTTAATTTCATTCAAGTGAACTGTGTCAATTTCCACATACCTGATTAGCTCCCATCATTTGATAGGTCTGGATCTGGAATAGACTGCGTCGTCGGCCCAAACCCAACAAGACATGAAACTGAGGCAATATCATAAAAAGCTTGTCCCTCGACTCCCTCCTAAATATTATTTATAGCATATTGAGCTTTAGGGGATATTTGGTTCCGTTTACATTTATTGGCGTCAGTTCAACTTTTGGTTTAATAAACGTTTTTGGATTTGAAATAGTTGTTTGGTGAGAGTGTTTATTAAAAAAACGCTAATAAACGTTTCTTTATTGATTTTCGTGAAAAGATCCGTTGGGGGAAGCCAACGGCTGGCCATTTCACGAAATGCGTGTTGATGTGGCAATGACGTGTAATCCGATGTGGCGCACTTGGTTTTTGATCCGGTACATCACGGATCTACCATCATCCCACAAGAGAAAAAAAAAAAAAAAAAACAATTGAAGCCCTAACCATGACCAGAGGTACAGAGCTAGACGATGTAGACGATTGGTGGGGCAGGGGGAGTTCTTTCTTTTCACACCATTGACGCTAGCCATTGGACGCCGGTAAGACTTCATCGTTGACACTCCATTAATCCCCCCCCCCCTTGCCCTTGTCCTTGTCTCCATCGACCGACGTCTTCTACGAGGTACAACCTTCGGATTCCTCCTCTTTCCTCTGATCAAGCGAGTCGTTGAGATTCCACATGGTGTCTCCTCCATTGCCGTCTTCTTCTCCTTGTTCGTCTGTTGTGGTGGTCTCCAGAATATGGAAGATCCAAGCTGCTCCGACCTTTAACAAACTAGGATCATCGATCATCTCTCTCCATCAAGATTGGAATTTGGGTTGTTGTGGGCAAAAGATATCTTGCTTTCTTCCCACTCGATATACCGGCCAGACTTGAGAAAACAAACGTAAGAGAAGAGTTTCGATGCAAAAAGGCACTCCAAAACTGCTATTTCCCCCAAAGTGCCCAATACAGTATACACGAGGCTAGGACGAGAAAGCTTAGTTAAAAGCAACAACAATTGTTCTCTCTCTCTCTTGTTGGATTTTAATCTTATAAGAGATTAAATCCAATGGATTTGATTGGTCAATTACATGAGAAGTTGCACCTACACATTTGTTTGAAAAATTACTTTTCTCTTACAAAACTCAGTTTTGAACTTATCCCACATTGGAAAATTATAAGTTTTGTTTTCAGTATTTTAATAAAGCTGATTTACACTCCTTAGAAATAGTAGAGGAGAGTATGGAGGCTTGATACCGCGCAATGAGGCATTAGAGGTACACTTTGCTCATGAAGGGCGGCTTTGGTTTTGGTGTGATGCTGACTGTTGATCACCGTTGATGAGATCAACGGACACGATTCAATCGGGTGTGATCAAGAGGCACAATTCAAAAGTAACAGTCATTAACTATTAACTACCTTTTAAATAGTCGCAATGTTACTGTTCAATGTGCCTTCTCTGAACTAGCACCTCCCTTTTCTTCATACCTCTTCATAAACTATTTAAGGAGCATGAATCAAACTTCTAAAACACACATTTTTGAAATTCACTCTCTCTCTCTCTCTCTCTCTCAATCCGGTATGCTACAGTCTCACAGAAGGTTTCTTCAGAGACTCTTCAACTTTGCTGGTTGCAGATTTTCGCCCAAGGCTCTGTTGTATCTTGGGAACGAATTTTCCTGTAACCGAACAACAAACTCAGTGAAACTGAGTGGGGGCAAATAATGTTCTAAAGAGTGTCTTCAGATGTGCCTCAGAGCTTCTCCTCCAAAGTTTTCAGTGACCCCCATTTTCCAACAATTTTAGAACGTTATTCTGCAATGGAGACGGAAGCTAGCATGACTTTGATCAAAATGATGACCCAAGATCTTGTTCGATTGGACCAGTTCGATAGAGCAAACTTCAGCCGATGGCAAGACCAGATGATCTTCTTTCTGGCCACACTAAAACTGTACTATTTCCTGGATCCGAATTTGCAATCACTTCCTGAACCCACTGACAAAAACTTAGAAAAATTGAAGAAGGAAATAGCAAAACGAGAAGATGATTCACTTCTGTGCCGAGGACACAAACTGAAAGCCTTATCAGATTGGCTCTACAACTTCTACAAGGAACTTACATCCCCAAAAGAAATCTGGAAGGCTCTGGAATTCAAATACAAGGTGCAAGAAGCAGATATGAATAAGTATCTTATCGCAGAAAACTTTGACTTCACCATGAACGACCATAAACCCATACTGGAGCAGGTTCATGAACTATAGGTGATAGTCAACAAAATTCGATCCCTTGGTATCATCCTTCCTGAATCTTTCCAAGTGGGAGCAATTATTGCCAAACTACCACCCTCTTGGAAGGATTACAGGAAGAAACTTCTGCATAAGGGTGAAGAGCTTACCTTGGAGCAAATTCAACAACATTTTCATATTGAAGAAGAATCTCGAATTAGAGACAGTAAAGATAAGACCCTGGCCAGTATGCTGAACTCTAAGGTAAATTTTGTGGAAAATGGATCGAAGAAGACTAATCATACATTACAAGTAAAGAAGAAGGATGGGAACTTCAAGAAGGGATCCTACTATGTTTGTGGAAAGAATGGGCATTATGCCCAAATCTGCCGACATCAGAAAGGTGGAACCAAGCCCGCAAACATGGTGGAAGACAATCTGGTGGCCATGATTACTGAAATAAATATGGCAGAATCATCTTCTAGATGGTGGTTTGATTCAGGCGCCACAGTCCATGTTTGCAAGGACAAGTCCTTGTTCAAGACATATGAAGAAGTGACTGATGGCCAGGAGGTACAGATGGAAAACCAAACATGTGCCAAAGTTGTTAGAAGAGGTAATGTGGAATTGAACTTCACCTCCGGAAAGACACTGACTTTCTGAATGTTCTCCATGTTCCTAATATTAAAAAGAACTTGGTCTCAATAAACCTTGTCTGTAAGAGGGGATTCAAAGTTATTTTTGAATCCAACAAATTAATCATATCTAAGAATGAGATGTTTGTTGGAAAGGGATATAGTTGTAATGGTATGTTCAAATTAAGAATTAATGAAGGAAGAGTTTTTGCTTATATTGTTGATTATTTCTCTTTATGACATTATAGATTGGCACACTTGAATTTTAAATCCCTAAAGAACATGAGCAAACTCGGTATAATTGCTTATAGTAATGAATCAACTGAAAAATGTGAAATATGTGTAAAATCTAAAATGACTAAGAAACATTTCCCTAATGTTGAGAAAAATTTTCAACTTATAAAACTAATTCATTCTGACATCTGTGAACTCAATGGTGTATTAACCAGAGGAGGTAAGAGATACTTCATAACATTTATATATGACTTTTCTAGGTACACCTATGTCTACCTTATGAGAACTAAGGATGAAGCCTTTGACATGTTTAAACTGTATAAGACTGAAGTTGAAAATCAACTAGAAAAGAAAATTAAAATCCTTAGAAGTGATAGGGGTGTTGAATACTTTAAAAATGAGTTTAATTCTTTGTGTAAAGAATTTGGAATAATACATCAGTGTTTTGCTCCCTATACCCCTCAACAGAATGACCTAGCCGAAAGGAAAAATAGAACACTTACAGAAATGATAAACTGCATGTTGTTAAAAACTAATGCACCCTTAAACCTATGGGGGGAAGCACTMCTAACAGCCTGTCATCTACATAACAGAATTGTTTATAGAGTTAATAACAAATGTCCATATGAATTATGGACAAGAAGAAAGCCTAGTTTAGTATGACTAAAAGTGTGGGGGTGCTTAGCATATTATAGAGTTTCAGATCCTAAAAGAACCAAGTTAGAACTCAGAGCTAAGAGAAGTATGTTTGTTGGATATGCAGAACATAGTAAAGCCTATAAGCTTCTAGACTTAGAATCCAACATAATAATTGAAACTAGAGATGTTGAATTCTTTGAGAATAAACTGTGTTCTGAATCTACAGAAAATGAATCCACAAAAAATGATAGAGAACTTGAAAGAGAAACTCAGATATCAACAGTAACACCTACAATAGAACCTAGAAGAAGTCAAAGACAAAGAACAAATAAACACTTAGGTTCAGATTTTATCTCTACTCAATCAATTGTATTTTTTGTTGAGGCTGATAGAGAGAAGATTTTAAATAAGATACTCATTATCCAAAACATTGAAAATGATCCAAAAACCTACAATGAGGCCATGACATCTAGAGATGTTGCCTTTTGGAAGGAAGCTATAAATGATGAAATGGATTCAATAATGTCAAATAACACATGGGTACTAGTAGACCTACCTCCATAATCAAAACCAATCAAATGTAAATGGATGTTTAAAAGAAAATACAACACTAATGGAACTATACAAACTTTTAAGGCTAGATTGGTAGCAAAAGGATTCAGTCAAAAGGAAGGGATTGATTACTTTAACACCTATGCATCAATGGCTAGAATAACTTCTATTAGAACACTCATAGCATTAGCATCCATTTATCACTTATTTGTTCATCAAATGGATGTCAAAACTGCTTTCTTAAATGGTGATTTAAATGAAGAGGTTTATATGAAACAACCAGAAGGATTTGTTATTCTTAGAAATGAGAAGAAAGTCTGTAAACTGGTTAAATCATTATATGGATTRAAACAAGCACCTAAACAGTGGCATGAGAAATTTGATTCTTGCATTTTAGCTTTTGGTTTTAAACATAATAGTACAGATTGATGCATTTACTCAAAATTCACTGAAAATTATGGTGTAATTGTATGTCTTTATGTTGATGATATGCTTATTGTGGGTACAAATATGGTTGGCATAAATGAAACTAAAAACTACTTACCTTCGTCTTCAAGATGAAAGATTTAGGATAAGTAGATACCATCTTTGGAATAAAAGTTAAAAAGCACAGTAGGAGTTACATATTAAGCCAATCACATTATATTGAAAAAGTACTTGAGAAATTTAAGCATTTATGATTTAAAGAATATAGCACGCCATATGATTCTAGTATAGAGCTAGTAGAAAATACTGGTAGAGCAATTGCAAAACTTGAGTATGCTAGTGCAGTAGGAAGTTTGATGTATGTTATGCTTTGTACTAGACCTGATATTACATTTGCAATAAGTAAACTCAGTCGATTTACAAGTAATCCCCATGCAAAGCACTTGAAGGTAATTGAGAGAGTTCTTGGATATCTCAAGAGAACCTTGGAACTTAGCTTGTTTTACTGTGGTTATTCAGCTGTACTAGAAGGGTACATTGATGCAAGTTGGATTACTAGTAATGGAGATAACAAGTCCACCTCTGGATGGATTTTCGTCCTTGGTGGGGGTGCAATCTCTTGGGCATCCAAGAAACAAACTTGTATATCTCACTCGACCATGGAATCCGAATTCATAATCTTGGCGGCTGCTAGAAAAGTGGCTGAATGGATTAGGAATTTATTGTTGGATATAAAACTTTGGCCTAGTCCTATGCCTCCAATTTCCATTTACTGTGATAGTGAGGCAACTCTGTCAAGAGCCTACAGTGGTACCTACAATGGTAAGTCCAGACATATAAGTCAGAGATATGAATTTTTTAGGCAATTGATTCAAGATGGGGTCATCACTATAACCTATGTGAGGTTAAGTAAAAACTTGGTTGATCTTCTTACCAAGGGCTTGGTCAGAGAATTGGTAAGAACAACAACTAAAGAGATGGGATTAAAACACTTTACTTAGTCACCTATAATGGTAACCCGACCTGAAAATGTGAGGTTAAGTAAAAACTTGGTTGATCCTCTTACCAAGGGCTTGGTCAGAGAATTAGTAAGAATAACAATCAAAGAGATGGGATTAAAACCCTTTACTTAGTCACCTATAATGGTAACCCGACCTGAACTGAAAACTATCAGTATTGGGTTTAATGGGTAACAACAAGTTACAGCAATGTGACTGTTAGCACTGACATTGAGAAATTTCCCATCACAACATAAGCAGTGTTGTCCGTTAT